CGCGCGGCTTAATTCGACGATGAGGAATCGCGGGAGGTCGGTTTGATTGTTGTTTTTTTTGCTGTCCTTTTCGCGCTCGTTGTTGTATCTATTTTGAGACTTACCGCGAACAACAGCGGTATTGAACACGAAGCTCGTTGTAATCGTGCATTATTTTCTAAGCACACTACTATCGATGTTATAGTTAAAGCCGCTTCCCGATGCCCTCGACGCGCGTCGAATCAACATCTAATTGCGAAGCAATGAATAATACGCTGCAAAAATAATAAAGAGGATCACACTTTCTCAAAAAGTGATAATACGTTTAAAGATTATTAATATATGTTTAAGAACAAAGGTTAATTTTTTGAGGGATTGGAACCTCGGAGGTAATCTTCGATATATATTAAGACATATCACTTCTTGCACTGTGTGAGTCTTTTTCCTTAAAATTTAATCTAGTTAATTATTTTGTTGAACTATACGAATTGAAAAATAAAATTTATGCTTTTATTCATATTTTTTCATGAAGATATATTTATTTTTTGAAGCATGACTTTTGGCACAGATGTCTTTATGTTGATTTTGTTAATAAAAAGATATATAAATTTGTTATAAATGTAAAATAGAAAATAAGTATTTTTATAAGTCTCACAAGAATGTTACAGGCCTCCGAAAATAGAGCCACCAGTGATTGAAAAAAAAAATGCAATGGTTCTCTCACCGTAGTACTTTTCATATATTTAACATAATGTTATTACACTTTTTGATCAGTTTGCTCTATGAAGGATTATCTTGTTCTTCTTTAATTTTTAATAAATATATTTATGTAAACACGATATTTTTTAGCTCTTTTAATAAACTGGTATTTGAGTTGTTCATTTCAAAGCAGTGGTGCCTCAATTATTTTTGAGCAGCGTATAATATCCTATCGGTCAGTCGATTTAACGATCGTCGAGACGCTCGTTGTTGCGTTTTAATTTTTTATGTGCCGTTATGCATTATTAAATTAACAATAGGAAACGTACTCCGTTTATTCTCTCGAACAGAATTTGTCTTAACGCTTTGACAACAGATACCAAATTCACGCAAATCTTTGCTTATTGTTGGATATATAAGATTTAACCCGATTAAATTTAAGCGCAATCATGCGCTTCCGTTCTTGTAAGCGAGATCTGATTATCTTATATATCAGTTGTTTCTCGCAATTCATTTGACAGAGATTTGTTTTTGCAAGTTGGATTTGGAATGTCACAAATAAACAGATATTTGAGTGATAAAAAAATTCGCTCGCTTCACATGTAGCTTTTGACGCCAATAGAATAAAAGAAAACATGGAGGATTTTTTTATCGAGCTAATAGTTATGAAACAGTTTGTGATTGTCGTATCGTTGTCACTGCGTTAGGTTGCCGTTAGCGCATCGAATGCAGGAGTACGTAGTCGTAGGAAGGGAAAAAGGAGTGAGTTTTGAGAGATTCTTTACTCGATTCTGTAACATTCTTACGTTTTTCTTGTTCCTAGGCCATACGGAACTGCAGCCGAGCTATTTGCGCGGCGCGATGTGATACATTCTACTTTTTGGTTTCTTTTTTTTTCTTCTTTTTCAATCGCATAATTAAATGCATCTTTCTCCGAACTGCTTGCGAACGTGTCTCTCTTGCAGCTTCGTATGTCTATAAATTTCTCCGTATTCTACTAGTGCATATTTCGGTACACACTCTTCTTGACCCGTAACACGAGTTTTACGCCGCTAGTTCTAGTGCGAGTTTCGTCCTACGGCCGAAAATGCGGTGTGGGTGCGAGACCCTTCCCACCCGAATTAATTTCGAAGCGAACACCTTCGCGACAACGTTTTCCTGCGTGCCCCTGGCGTTGCTTTCCTCCTTCCCCTCCTTTCCCAGTCCTCTTCCGGAATATACGATCCCGAAATATAATCCCGGAAATGCAGTCTTAAGGATCTCTGGCGGAAGGGCCGAGGCTCGTCATTACAACTCGCGGAACCTGTGTTACGCATCGTAGAAGTCCTGTTATTGTATACCACTTTAATGCTACAAATTACCTCCACCGTTTCCCGCCGGACGCGTAGTCGGACGAGCATTTTTACATTATATATATGTATGCCGGAACCGTTCTACGAAATCAGTATTCATTCCTTCGACTTTGAAGCCCCCCCCCCCCGTAGGTTTGTGTCCCGATCTATCGTTTTTACGTCACTCCTGTAATTAATAGAAATGTCTTTTGGAAATGTGAATCAATTTTTAAAAATGTATGAATCGATAAATAAATAATGCATGGCATAAGGAGTAACTCGATCGCCCCTTCAACATCCTTTCCGTATAATTTTATCTTATAAAAAATATATATCTTAAATATAATCCAGTTAAAATCATCGCTCTTTACTATGTTGCGAGAAAAATGAAATGCAACTTTTCTATTATACTTTGTTTATTTTTGGCCATTTTTGCCTCTTAATAGGTGACGTTGGAACATTCAAGATAATTGTAATAACCAATCTTCCGGAAGAAAATGCTTTGAACTTTTCACAGAGATGTTTAATTCAGATCAGAAACGAATCGCCGCATGTCATAAGATAATCTCCGTCGTTGAGGAAATAGATAAAAAAATATATAAACATTAACTTCAATCGTCCTGAGCGTCGAGCGGAATGCGCGGCCGAAGCGTGGTCCGATTTGAAGTGAGTCGCGAACGCGCGGCTTGTTTCCGATTGGCCGTGACGAGACGCGGCAGACAGGATGAACGGAATTCACGGAGGTGGGGGGATTTATTTAGACGACTGTCAACGACGACGACTGCCAAAGCGTCTAGATGCCGCATCCGGTAAGGTCCGGCATTGGGGGTGTTTCCGGTGAGCCCCATAGCTGGCGACACCCGACTTGCGCCAGCAGGGGTTGCCGGGATCTCGAAGGATGACCTATTGTCCATTTCTCTCTCTCTGTCTCTGTCTCTTTCTCTCCCTTCGTCCTTCCGCCCTCCGCAGTCACTCATCCGGATGACGTGACACCGCGCCCGAAACGATACCTGGCGAAATCGAGCCCGCGCATAAGGCGGGGGGAGGGGAGGAGGGGGGCAAGGCCGCCATGTTGTATCGCTCTCGTTAATTTTTGCGCAGAGGCGTCGCGATTTTTTTCCCCGTCCACGCGCTCAAGGTTGAGCCGTTGAGGTGCCCGGGCAGGCCCCGCATCCCTCCTTCCTTTTCTCCCCGTCAACCTCCCCCTCCGTCACCCGTCGATCGCATCACCGTCGTGGCTCTCTCCTCTCTTCCGTCTCCACCGCGCCTATCTTCACACAGCCGCGCTCTGGGACGATAGGATCAATTTCGAACATGCACACTCGCGAATGCGAGTTGTCTTCGACATTCAGACTTCACCCCGCGGGTTTCGGGCGCTTACTCACAGAACGCGTTTATCTAGCCCGCTTTTGCATCGATGATCAGAAATGGAGCGCTTTCAGCCCGATTAGGATGTAGGTACCGATTGAAGTTAGCCGCAAGTCGAATAATTAACGCGTAATTTTATAGAGCAACGGAATAAGCTTTCTAAAAGTACGTTGCGTAATAACGAACCATTTATTCTTCACTATAGTAATAAATAAATTTCATATTATTACTATGTTTTTAATGAGGAGAAAAAACAAGGATAATCTTCCGAAGTCGAGATGCGATCGACGCGCAAAAATCGTGAGATCGTCCTCACGGGTTTTTCCGCGTTCCGAAACTTGACAGAGACAAAGAGATCGCAATCTTTTTATCTACAATGGAAATTCGTGAGAAATTTGGTCGTGACTCCGTCCGGAAATGGAATTTTCGTTTCTACAAGTCGCAATAACGAGCCTCTGCCTCGTTCGGGTGTGATTCCGCTCGGTTGTATCGCTTCGTCGTTTTTCGAGGCGTTGTAAAAACCCGATCAGGTTCAAACCTGCTCGCAATGTACTCTCGATCCCAACACGTTCCCGCATATTCGAGAACATTTTTATACCATTGACCAGCTCTGACAGATCAAGGAACGACAAAGTGCGTTCGTTGAGACGAGTAGAAATTTTCTTTCGATGATATTCGATAGATATCAAAGAGGCTAGGAGTAAGGAAGATAGGATTAAGTATGGTTGCACGGTATGAAACGGTATGAGTGAGTTAAGTTATTTTTTGTAAACCAAGAAGTCCACTTCTTGACATAAACTGAAGTTAATAAAGATTGATTGATTGATAATAATCGATGATAGATATATCATTTTGTCGTTTCTTCGATCGTCCGGTTTTTTTTCCCATAAATCTGCAGCATCTTTCTCGATATATTTTCTATTTTATCCTCTCCGTGACGAGTGCGATAGTTTTTATCGCGATAAAGATTTATATATGATTAAAGAGTAAGCTAATTAATGTTCCCAGATTTTTTCACACATGCGCAGTAGCGCGGTACACGGCCGTTTCAGTAGCGTGAACGTTTTATCGAAAGAAATGGTACCGACGGGCTCGCGTCGCGAAAGGGGATTGGAAACATCGAAAGGAGCAGCACGATGTTTATTTACCAATCAAATGAAGTTTATCGATACGGTGAAATCTATCGATGTTCATTAATGCAGATGATTAATTTTAATCTCGATTAAATTTACTTTTGTCTTCTTTTAATTCTTAGAATTAGAAAAAGATAAAAAGTAAGTTAAACCGAGATTAAAGTCAATTTACAATGTCGGAAATGAATAAAATCTTTAAGCAGGCAGTGAGCCTCGACTTACATGGATATTAAAGTTTACTAAAAAAGATAACGGAAAATAATAATAAAAGGCGGGAACAATTTTTAATCAAGTATCAGTCCCCCCGCGTTGCGTCGGTCTGCCGGGGCAGTCACGTGGGCCGGGCGCGCGCGACCGCGCACGCGCGGATAAATTCCGCGATCCGGGGAACGAGCGCGTCTGCTAATGTCCGCGCCGTTGCGCATGCCTAGGATCTTCTCCCTCCATCCGGACCGGTGGGTCGGAGCTCTGGGGGGAAGGGGGGCGGAAGAACTCGGTCGCTGTGTCGCTACTCGCGCGTGGAACCTCGGAATTCGGGCATTCTTTCTCGTGGAAAACGTGCGTGCGTGCGTGCCGACGGTTGAGGCGGCTCACTGGAACATGTGACGGTGCATATACCGCGTGTCGTGCGCGCGATCGCTATTCAGTGGAATTGTGCATACCGCCGGTGTACGAGAAAGAGAGATAGAGAGAGAGAGAGAGAGAGAGTGATAGGAGAACGAACGGAGTCGAGACGACGCTCGGCGGACGGGTGGACAGACGAACGGACGGACGGACGGAGGAACGAACGAACGGGTGGGCGGACGGACAAGCGGACGCTCGGCCGGGTCGACTGAGTGCACGCGTGCACATTGACTCCGTACGTGCGCGGCTGTGCGCGATGCGCGCCCGCCAATCGCGCCATATCGCCGTGGACGAGCGGCGGCAGTGAGAGTGCGGTCGAGCGAGCGCGTCTCGGCGTCTCGCCGTTGTGTGACACGGAGTACGGAGTGCGCGGAGCGAAGTGCCGTGCCGCCGCCGTCGCGCGCGCGGTCGCGGTCGCGGTGACGTGTGAAGTGAGGCGCGGAAGCGGCGGGAACGAAGAAGAAGAAGAAAAAAGAAGAAAAACGGTCGTCGTCAGCGTTCACCGGCAACGGCGGCGCGTCTCGCATCTCGTCGTACGCGCGGTATATCGCCTCGTTGCGCGTACCGTGTCGCGAAGGGGGAGACGGGAGACGACGTGCGCGCGGTGAGGTGGAGGAGGAGGAGGAGGAGGACGACGAGGGAGGCAGAATATCGGCTCGTCTCGCATGTCGGCTGAACCGCCACGCGAATTCGGATCAGCCCCGATCGACACCGTAGGTACGTATCGCCCGTGTCGGCCAAGGGCCGTATAGAGGCACGCCGTAATGCGAGGGAAGAGCGGGGGGAGAGGGAGAGAAAGGGCACGGGAAGGTTCAAGGTGTTCCACTGTGTTCCACCGAACGGAAAAGATCGACCGAAGTTTTTCCCGAATGGACAGATGCGGAAGCTTGTGTCGCAGGGCCGTACTCGCCCCTTCGGGATTTACAGGCGCGATATTTTCGGGGGCGATCCCGACAGGATGTTGTTTTGAGGAGGGAGGGAAAAAAAAAACACGCGAGAGCGTATTCGATGTAAATACGTGATGAGACATTTTGTTATCGGGCATTCGCGATCGGACATTTTTTATTGATGTCACTCGGCACAAATACAACATTCGACACGTAGATATGGACTCTCGCTAATGGACTGCATATTTTACGACGAAACCGTACCGAATATATTTCCCCGCGCGTAGATCGTTCAATTCGTCGCGTTTTCTCGTGCAACATTAAAATGTTCGTTAAACGTACAGGACGCGATTCTTTTCATTTTACCCGTTCAATTTGCAAGCGGACGTGAAAAATAATAATTGGTGTTTTAATTGCTTGTCTATCATAATTTCAAATGCGACGTGGTTCGCGTGACGTTTACGCTGTTTCGTGTGCACTTTTATCGTTACGGCTTAATTAAAAATCGCTTTTAGGGAATAACGTGCCTTTTAGGCATGTTTTCGCATATCTGTGTTATATCTCCGGTAAATAAACATTTTATCTCAGCCCGACTTTATTGAAGATAAGTGATATTGAGGATAATATTAAATTTTTTTATTTGCTATATCTATCAATTAGATTTAAAATCTTCACGAGTTATATTTAGCTCGTTCAAAAGTGGAGCCTCGGTCTCAAGAATCAAGTACACAACTTTGCATAGCAATTTGCCAAACTTGACGACTGAGTTACCGCAATATTTATTAAACGTTGTCATATTCGACAAGCAATTGAGATATAGTGACGGTCTATAGATGGCATAATAAAAGATAAAGATACATAACTATTTTTTTTTTTTTCAAGTAATACATACAAAAAATTGCAATGAACTATGTATGGAACGGTTGGCGATGCTCGTTTTCTCTTTTTCCAAAATTATCGTCATAAATGTCGTAATTGTCGATGTCATTTCAGCTTTAATGAATGACGCGAAAAAATGGGAAGATTTATTTTGCATTCAACCGCTTTTCGACTCATTTGTAATTCTTGCGGGACAAAAAATGACAATATATGTACGCGTTCTTCACTTACATTGATAATTTAGCACCGTTAAGAATACGTGTTTACGCTTTTGACGATTACACGAACGCTAAAGTTTCTCAATTCACTAAGATATCAATTACACATAACTGTGTATATAATTGTAGCGGCGTACTTCCATTTAGCGGAACGTAAAAACTAGATGGCAGCCTATCATTATCATCATTAAATTCTCCGAAATTACAATGTATAATTTATTTAAATCGGTGTCCATCTAAATGTACTTTTTTTTCGACTCCAATCTCGTGGACCGTAAGACCACTTTTTGCGCGATCACAAATATATCTATTTATAAATTACGCTTAAAGATAAAGATGCCGGCCTTCGTTTCTGCAATCGGCGTATATCTTACGAAAGATCGTGCGACTAATCTGTGAGGCATCTGGGATTCTGGTTCACTCCTAAATAAACAGTCTGTTACCCCCGTCATCCTTTTCCTGGAACTATTTGTTCAAATTTTGGCCTTTTGAGATTCTGTTTCTCTTTGACGTGTAAACAGAGCTCGGTATTTCCAATTCTAATGTAATCGTATCTCGAAAACTGAAAAATATCGGAACCATTGACGAATTCGCCGGCGTTATCGCGACAGCTACGTCACATCTGCACGTAAATCGCGTTTAGGTCCATCTTTTTCTCTTTTTCTTTTCTCTCGAGAGGGGGAAGTGATCTTCCGCGGCCCGTGATAACTTTGTATATTCGCGAACGAGGACGCGAGTCGATCTTGCATTCTGATCGGCGAAAGTCTCGGGGGAGGAGACCCGATGCCGCGTATTCGCGCGAGTTGCACGCGCGACGGAGAAATACGCGGACGACCGTCGTTTTCCAGCCGAATGAGTTCGCAATATTCGTTTTCGACTCGGGCACGCGCGATCCGGCGCGTGAAGTCGGTTGTGCCGCGGCACAATGCAGCGTCATGTACAAATTAACCAATCGCAGTCAAGTATTCTCGAAAACTTGAGAGACAGCCATTGGTCAATTTTGCTTACTACTTAGGTCGTACTTAAGTTTTTCTACATGTGCCATTGCCCTAAGGAGGAAAAAAACTTGACCTATTTAATCAATTAGACGGAAAAATGCCATTTGCGGTCCGAATTGGATCTCGGTAAGCCTAATAACAATGTTGCGTGAATTTTATATACTTTTTTCCAAACTCCAGTAAACTGAGCCGTTAACCTATTTAAATACAATCGATCTAGTCGTCTAGCCAGGCCGCCATGTTAAGTTTTTTTTCCTAGTTATCGATAAGAAGGAGTTAAAGGTCTATCCAGACAAACTTGCATAGGTGCATAAGCATATGCATAAAAAAACGGCGTGGTCTATTTCCTTATGCACATGCATATGGACCACGCAATTCTCTTATGCTTATGTTTATGCGCTATGCAAGTTTGTCTGGATTGACCTTTAAGCGGGGAGCACACACTTCTGCACAACGCATAATGCGTAAGCATAAGAAAACTGATTGGTCTATTTCCTTATGCACATGTGTATGGACCAATCAATTTTCTTATGCTTACGCATTATGCGTTGTGCAGAAGTGTGTGTCCGGGCCCTTAGGATCTTCACACACGAATTGCCGTACTCGTGACATAAGGCGTACGTAAGAATTGACCAATCACATATCACATCAAGTACATTTTCGAACCGTAAGGCTACCGTTTTCAAGTGGCTCGATTGTAATTGGTCAATTCTTACGGTATGTCTTGTGCAGTGAACTATAAAACTATACTTGAATGGGAACTCTACTCCGAAGAAAAAACGGAACGAGCGACAGGGAGAATTGTCGCCAACCCGTCGTCCTTTTCCATTGTGCTGCACTTTTAGACAATTGAATACCATTGACCAATTCGCTAAACAGAGACAGAAATGACCGCGGAGCAGAAGACCTATCTTTTTCTTGTGGCCCTGGCGCTAGCATAAGAGTTCACATTCCAGTATAGCATATCGTTCGCTGGTATTTCGTGTTACAGGCTACGGGTTTTCGTGCGTGAAGGCCCGTAGACGTTTATCAATTAGCGCGTCTTCGTCGCCACGTGGCAGAGACAAACGTGGCGGACTTATATCTCCTTCGCGCGTCCGTGGCAAATCCGAAGTCTCTTTTCGGTTCGCGATCGGCGCGGATCCTCTTCCGATCGCAGTAACCCGATGCTAAATTTACAGTCGATCGCTATCAGATCGTTTCGCAAGTTCGCAGCAAACTTCACGTCGTCGAGACGGCGGCGGCGCGGCGGTGGATTTCTCGGTTCGACTCCGCTCGAGCGCGGCGAAATGACATAACTTCGCGCTGCACGCGAGAAGTTGCATACCTGCTTGCGCGTGCGGAAAGTTTAGAGACCCCTTCGGGATACGGCGTCACGTGACGCCGCCGACGCGAGGCGAGGAGCGGGGAAATCTGCCAAGACGATCGTAGGCGAGGAGCAGCGGGTTTTTCATCGTGGTTCGCGCGTGCATGGGAACTGGAAACTCGGAGTGAGAATCCACGTGCGACGGCAGGACGGCACTCGTTTGCCGCTCGAGTCGCGCGCGCGGCGAAAAGGACAACCCTCGCGCGTCCCTCTCGCGAGCGCGCGTGCAGCAGCAGCAGGCGGCATTCGGGAGGACGCGCGATGGTGCGCCGCGGGGCCTATCGAATATCGCGTCGCACGCGAGCGTAAAGCGTAACGGCGCGTTCTCCGGTTCGCGAGGAGGCACGCGCTTAGCTTCCTCCGCGCGAAACGACGGATCATTCTCGCGTGCGAGAAAAGGCGGCGCGCCGAAAAAACGTCGCGAGCCCTTTTCGTGCCGGCGCGGCTGGTCGCCGCCGCCGCTGCAGCCGGCAGTGGGGACCCTGCCGTCGAAAAATCGATTTCCCGTAGGGCATAAGGGCGCGCGAGCGACCGGGAGGACGAGATGGGGCGATGGGGGAGGGAGACACGTACGGAGACGAAATTCGGGAAAACCCGCAAGGGGGTGCGAAAGGGAGAAACGCGTTGGAGGTGGAGGAGGAGGAGGAATGGGGAGGGCGACGGACCGATACGTCGAGAGAGACAGAGACAGAGAAAGAGAGATAAAGCGCGCGAGCGAGCGAGCGAGGAAAATGAAGATGGAGAGAAAGAGAGAAATTGGTTTCTAGCCCGTTCCCGATGCGGCCGCGTGTGGGTGAGCGGCTAGCGTGCCGCGGTCGTAGTAGGGGTGAGAGGAGAAATAATTAATGTGCGACCATTCCTCTCTCCCCGCGCGCGCGAGCGCGCTCGCGCTCGCTCGCGCCGCGTCCCCCCTCGTCACCCCCCGCCTCCCTCCCGTGCTCCCGCGCTCGCCCTCCCCCGGCCGCCGTCTCCCCCTCGACCGACCTACCTACTCTACGGGTCTTGTACCGCTACGCTTAGCTGCCATTGTGTCGGGGACGCCACTTCCGAGGCATCAAATTTAATTCTTCAATTGCGAAGAGAGAAAGAGAGAGAGAGAGAGGCGACGAAAGAGTACGTGCCCGTATGTGTGTGCGTGCGTGCGTGCGTGTGCGTGCACTCTGCCGAAAAAAAGAAGCAGCGCGCGACGATCCGCGAGTGATACGCCGGTGGGTCCGGATACACCGACGTGGCCCGTGTCGTTGATCAACGACGTCGTCGTCGTCGTCCTCGCCGTCGGCCTCGTCCTCGTCGCGGAGAGTACGCGCGCGCGCGTCCCTCTCGTCGTCCTCGTTTTCCGAAAACTCGGGGAGCCCCCCACCGACGCTCGTTCGCCGATTCTCTTTAAACTCTCGTGGAAGTTAGGTTAGGACAGTTACTTCCGCAGGTATTGGCCGATCGCCCGCCCCGTTCTTCCCCCCCATGCTCTTTCTTTCTCCCTCCCCCGCTCGCCGCTCCCCGCGCCTTCACGCTAGTGGCGTCGTCTCCCGTCACGGATGTTCCTCGATTTCGCGCGTCGTCGTCCGTCGTCATCGTCGTCGTCGTACGGGACCTCGCGCCGTGCCGCTGGCCTCTCCGCCGTCCGAGCGTCCGGTGGCGTCTCCGCGGATACTCTGAACTCTCGCGTCACACGCGGCATAATCGCCTCGGTCGCCGCGATTTTTTTTCGGGGGCCCATCGGGCTCGTCGCGCCGCGGGGCGACGGGCGCGTAAGTAGTAAAGTAACCGAGAATGCGCGCAGGAGAGATTCGGTAACCCAGTTGTACGCCAACGCGAGTATAGCGCGCGGCTGTGCGTGTTTGTACGTGTTTGTGCGTGCGCGCGTGTCCCCGCGTAGCGTAACGTAGCGTACATACATAGCGCCCGGTGTGTTCCCCGCGCGCGGGTTTCCTCGCCGCGAGATTAAACGTCGCCGTCGCTTCCTCGCAGCGCGCGTTTTCAAAACGGCGTAACGCAATATATCTTCCGTCCCCTTCCCCTCTCTCCCCCGCCGCTCCATCTCTCCCGCGAATAAAATGTTCCCGTGCCCCGTGTTGATCGACTTCACGCGTGCGTTTGTAATTGCAGAGTGACCACGGCCGAAAGAATGGAGGCCATGGATGTGGACGGAGATTCAGTAGTGGATTTGAGCATCAGGTAAAGTGCATCACGTATCTAGAGCTCGTTATACTTCTTCTGATTGAAATAAATGAAAGAGGTATAGCAGCGGCTTGCACTTGTTCCCTGCTTGATGATCTCACTTCAAGTTGTGCAATTTTAAACGCTTAAAATAGGGGGCAATATATACAATGGTAATTAATGATAATAGCGCCTTTTATCCAGGCGGAGTTTCTTATCGGTATTAGGTTCTTATCACAGTGCGATGGACGAAGAAGTAGGTTGTTGTTACTTCTTAGCTTGACATACGCTTGAATATACTTAAAAAGACAAAAAAAAAATGGTAGAAATTTTTGATTTTCATTTAGGCTGCACAATAACGAATATTTATACGACAGGTTCTCTAATTCTCTGTAATGCGTGTTCTTTCAGCAGCAGTGGTAGGCGCAATTCCCCGTCTCTTTCTGTGAATTCTGGTGACATCCCGTTAGACTTGGGAATTCACTTTTCAACCGGTTCCAATTTGGAGAACAACATGCCGGAGGCACGTAATATACAGAACGCCGCCCGCGGCATCTTGGCTCCTAAACGATCGCATGGGGACGAACGTAAGCCACGGCGTAATCTTAGACCTAGAATTGAAAGGAGCTATGCCGAGAGTCCCGACGAGCCTAGAATGAATGGATATCTAAATGGAAATGCATCAGACAGTGACGAAGGTTTGTTTTATGAATCCTTTTCCATTTTATTGTCAAAAAAATAGAAAATAATTTATGAATTTTTAATATCGCGTCGCGTTTCATTGTGCTGAATGCTTAAACAGGTGATATGCCTCCTATGCTGCCAATCAAGGAACTGTCATCCGACGAGCTGGCTGAACGCGAGAGAATGCTTAGAAAATATAAAGAGGAGCTTAAATCGGAGGAAATGAAATTAGTACTTTTGAAGAAGTTACGTCAGTCTCAGCAACTGAAAGAGAACATTGCAGCAGCACCTCCCAAGGTTCTCAGCAAATTACCACCGCCAGTAACGGCACAGCAGGTGCCTCATAGGTAAAACTTGGCAATAATGTCGTTTTCCAAGATGTAACTTTTATATACTGTTGCGTTAAGTCGAAATAAATATCATTTTCCTTATTACAGAGCCGGAAAAGCACCTCCGCCTTTACTTAAGGGTCAGCCCGCACCGAGCAGAAGTAGTAGTTTACATGCTCCACCACCTGGCATGGTGCTACCTCCTAATGCCGGTCGAAATGCCATTCCAAGTACAGGCGGGATGCCTCCAAACATGGTGATACCGCAACCACCTCATCCTAGAGGAAGACCACCCAGCGTAGCGGCGGCAACTGTCTCTAGTTATCATGCGCCGACAGACAGAACGGAGAGGTCTACGAAGGATCCAACACCGGCTCCTGCGCATCAAGTAAGTAAGGTATAGCATCACATTTTATTATTTTTGTTATAAGCTTTACATAGGTTGTAACTTTAGTTTTACGCGAACGTTAAGAAATAAGTCAATAAGACTGTTGAAACTTCCTTCATTGAATAATTTTAAGAACTAACACTTTCACCGCTAATACATTACTCGTGATCGCTACGATACAATACGTTACGAGCGATCGTTGCGCGAACACTGACCCGGCCGTGAAAGTGTTATATAATAATTATCTAATTGTGAACAACGTATGTAATCCATTATTGTGTTTTTCTAAACACAAAGCTGCTTGCTGGATCGCAAGAAAATAAAACCACCGCATCCTTAAGCACACCTGTGAATTCGGAACAGGTATATGATTCATTCGTCGATCAATGTGTAATGTCTTCTCTGTCTATGTTCTATAAAGGCTATTTTTTTTTCCATATTGATTATAATATTTTAGCTTTATTTTTGGGGCTTTTTGTTTCTAACGATTCTTTATTTTATCAGTGAAGCTATATACAGGAAAATCTGCTTAAGTCTTCATTAATGTATAATACAAGTTATAACATGCAGTGTTGCTAAATTTTTACTAACATGTCTATTTTTTAAATGTAATTATATGTATATGAAGAGAGAAATATTGTGCATAAGGAATATATAAAATTTAAATTCTAATTTGCATGCAGCTATTAAATTTATATTTTGATACATATCTATGTATCGTAAAAACATGCATATGAAAAAGAATTATCTGTATTATTTTACCTCTAATTTTATGTTTACTTTTTTTCCATTTATTTAAGATGTTTGTCTTTTGTGTTATTGGAATATTAATTGTACAAAGAAAAATTTATTACATTAAATAATATTTATTCTATATTTTTGATAATATAGGAGAGAACAACGCGAGAAGATACACCTGCTCAACGTCAAGCAGCTGCCAAAATGGCCCTCAGAAAGCAGCTCGAGAAAACATTATTGCAAATCCCACCGCCGAAACCGCCACCTCCAGAGATGCACTTTGTACCAAATCCCTCCAATACGGAATTCATATATTTGGTCGGTTTGGAGCATGTGGTCGATTTTATAACGAAGGAGCCGGCCGTACCGCCACCTCCCGAACCATTTGAGTGCTCACAATGCAAAACAGATTTCACACCCGTTTGGAAATGGGAAAAACCTATGCCTGGTGGTAAGAAGGATAGTCCTAGAGGGCAACATGCGACTTTCCAACGACCATCAGCGGGTCGTGATCCAAGAGTCATATGTGAGCACTGCGTGACGACTAATGTGAAGAAAGCATTGAAAGCAGAGCACACCAATCGGTAGGTTTTCATACATATTAAAATATCAATAATGCAAGAATAATAGTAAAATCTCATTTTGTTAATCTTTTTATAATTTGCTATAAATTAATTATTTCGTAGAAGATCTAATATGTAAATTATTCATTATAATATTCTTTTAGGTAAGCGAATAAAATTGAAAATTTAATACATTTCTGCAAAACAAATTTAACGGATTAAATGATGTTATTCCCGCGTCTAATGGATTTTATTTTCGGTTACAGATTAAAAACTGCTTTCGTAAAAGCGCTACAGCAAGAGCAGGAGATAGAGCAAAGGTTAGCGCAGGCGGCATGTCCGAGTCCAGATCCTCCAGCTCCGAAACCAGTTCCTAAGGCAGCAACTCCTACAAGAAGAGTGGCTACACCTCCCGCGCCTCCGCCGCAGGTACCACCGGCTCCTACGTTGACGCCTACACCTCCCGCGCCAAAGCTGCAGGAGCATCCCTTAGTGAAACTGGCCGAGAGCGGGAAGTTTAGTCCGCATCATGCAGCTGCTGCGGCAGCGTTGCAGCAACAATTGCTCAGAGGTAAGCAAAGATACATGCATCCGCAAAATTCTAAATAAAAACTAATTATTTTTAATTTATCACACTGTTATTATTGTTCCAGAATTGGCGAAGAATCCAGTACCCGGTTTACCACCGCATCAACCTCTTCCCGCTCACATGATGCCGCATTTTACCTCTATATTGTATCCCTATCAATTAGCGATGGCTGCCGGTGGTAAGGGCCTTGTAGAATTACAACGGCAAGCGGCGGATCTTCAACGTCAATATCTGCTTGATATGATTCCGTCGCAGGCGTCGCAAGCGCAAGGCAATCAAGCACCACCGAGAGCTCATCCGCATAATTGGAAAACGTAACCGGACGCATTTAAGGGATGACGTAGCAGTAAATGCGAATAAACAGTGAACGTGCATAACGGAAAACAGAGAAGCTAAGGGAGATCTAGTAAAGTGTGCAGTCGTAATTCTGTGCGCCTGAATGTTACACTATGCCAATCGCAACGTTAGTGTCTCAGTTAAGGTGAAGCTCAACTTGAAGTACGTCGGAAGAATGACATTCGTTAGTATTGTATAAAGAATAATTAATCGTTGTGAATATGTCAATTGACGTGTACGTTTACGACTTTATTGTTATCTAAGGGGTAAAGGTTTTATTTCCGTCACTGAAACACGCACTCAACGTACGTATGAGTTGGGATACAGAATCGCGTCGCGTCTAGGTGATTAATTCATTGTTTAATGGAGACCAACTGAACTCTCTCAAATTGGAAATGTCGGTCATTTCCTTTTTCCTGATCTTTCCTACGTATATATACGCGTTATTATTTCGTTAACGTATCGTTAACGTTGTCCACTGAACAACTGATATATAAACATAATGATTAATTTAAGCGTATCGACAAGCATATTATAACATTGAATGCAATTGCTTGGATTATGAACACCGAGTTGCCTAACTAGGCGCGAGTGAGCGATCACCTCGCTATTATTTACCATTTTTATTTTTTGTCTCCGTATCTTATATTCTCTCTGTTATTATATAATAAATACTATTATTAGTAAAGTTATGTTGTCTCCTTGTGCACGTTTGTACAAGATTTGTTTGTAGAAATACATTTGTAGAGATACATTTGTACAAGATTCTACTGTGTTTTTTATTTATCTTTCTCTTAGTCGGTCGTTTGTTCGTAAGAAAATGTCTAAACGTGGTGGGACGCAAAGTAAAAATGTTTACTCGCTCGCTCGCTCGCGTGATGATATTATAAGTTAGACAACTCTGTTATACAACATAATATAAAGAACCAAATAGACATTTACAAGGCACTAAATAAATCAATAAGTGTAAAATGACTGCGAATCGGATTATTAACAATAATAGGGATAATCGCGGAAGGAAAGGCACGAGTGTAAGACGAGGTAACGAAGTTGATGGAAAGGATCTTTTTAGGCCCTTAGATAGTTAAGACGATTTTTGCCGCTGATTCCAACGAGTTTTGCGATCACCGGCAGTACCTGTACTATGTGTATATCTCATTATTTTCTCCGAACTGTATTTTTAAGGCGAGTTTAACGGAAGATAGAGCTGTAGCTACATACGAGGAAAAAGAAAAAAAATGATGTTTGTAAGAAAGCGAGTGATGATAAGCCAGCACATGTGAGATGTATAGCAATCTTTTTCTCTCTCGACATACGGCGGAGTATGCATCGGCGAGTTTCTAACGGAGAGCGACACGAGTGTTACTCGCGCACAAATATGATTTTCTTTTACGTGCGACGTTCGCACGTAAATTCGGGCTCGTGTCACACGCAACGATATGCACTCGGGCGATGTATACACGACTTAACTTGGGACTGTTCTTGTACGTTAAAAACAAGACTCAGATGAATCTGCAATGGTAATCGGGATTCGAGTTAACGCAGCGCGATTGATTTCATGTCACATTCGATGTAAAAGTATTTAAAGAAACTTACTAGAGGAGATACGTAATCGAGATTTTTGCGAATTGTTACAACACGGCGACCGCCGGATTTTTACGACGTCCTCTACGAGTCTGCACTTGAAACGAGTTAAAAAGTATCCGGCACTTGTCCCCAATAATACCAGTCCACCCCCCCCCCCATTTTCCTCCTCCACTAATAGTCTGATTTAATTAATTCTGGGCTAACCGATCTTGGTCTCATACATTTCCGAATCAATTAAATATATAGTACTATAGTCTTGATATTTCTCGGTATATGATACAACTTAATAAACTAAAATAGCGCATAATCATCTCTCTTTGTACTACGTGATAGATTTTGAACTCGTACTTGATATACATGTACACCATAATAAGTCTACGATCGCATAATAGATCAAGATCTGTGTTTTTTGTGTAAGAGAAAACGTAATAATATGTCGTCAACTAATTACCGTCATCGGGGCACTACCGTCGTCGTCGTCGTCGTCGTTGTTGTCGTTATCCTAAGATGAGATCCGGGAGCGAAATAGAATGACAACATGAAAGAGGAGAGATTCTTAAAAGCTTGAGCGTACTTCCCCCGAGAAAATGGAGCAATATTTTATATAATTTTGATAAAGGCTATTTCCAAGTTGTTATACGTTTCAAAAATTTCTCTTTAAATAAACAGCACAGTTAGAATTAAATTAATTGTAATTTCTAGTGTTTATTAATTATATTGTTCAATAGATCAAATAATTAAGTTATTGATTGTCGATTGATCGATAAAATAAAATAATTCAATAAAAATTTAACTTAAAACTACTTGGAAATAAGCTTACCAATTCCGCAATCGTTTGCTATATCTTATATGACAAACGAGAGAATCAGTGTCAAGGAATTCGAATTTGAATTTCAATTTGTTTTCTGACATAAACGCGGGTAGACAGATACCCAGTATAAATAATATAAACCGAAATGCTACTTTATCATTTTATAAAATTAATGGCGCAAAAATGTGCCTGATGTTCTGATGTATATGACTCTTGGAATTTATGCCGATTCGATAAAAGCAAATTGTCATCGTCATCAGAATCATAATCACCATCACCATCATTATTATTATTATCATTATCATCATCATCATTATTATCATTATCATTATTCACAAATAGATTAACCACATTCGGTAACCAGATCGCGTTCCGTTTCTCACAAACAAAAAGAATATGTTTCTTTCTATTTTTCTTTTCTAGTCTTGTCTCTCTTTAATCTCTGTGTGGTGCTGTTAGCAATTAAGCACTTTCAAAGTGCGAGAGAATTTTATATCCTAAAAAAAGGGAACTCTCTTTTCGCTACACGACAGAAACGAGGGATGGCGAATATTTAGCAGAACTTAGAATTCTAAGGCGTTCGCAAAATGCAAGAAAAAGAAAAAAAATACGGGTCGACTTGGTCCGCTCGTCTTACGGGGACACAAACATTTCACGACTATGAATATTTAAGCCGTTAAAGACTGCGTGACGTGCGCACATTTTTTATTTTGTCAAGGAAAAAGAAATTGCGAAATTCATACACCGATCTTGGAACATCTGTCCGAATGAAAAGCGTTGTCCCCACGATTTATAGAATTAGTAGATAAATAAAGATTACCGAATACTCTGGAAACTATACGAATAAAGCTTACCAATGATTGTATTAAAAGGTGATATTTATTTATCTTTTGTAATATTTTTTTTTCGGTTCTTTTTTCTTTAACGCATCTGCGAGACTTTCGTTCGTATTGGTAATTAATCCATGTTTATATCAGCGAATTCAAGATTTATGTGTGTTCCGTTTATAATTATTTCTTAATTATTCAATGTCTTGCCAAGGATTAAAAAAAATAAAATGCTGGTGGTATTTGAACCTATGTATTCATAAATTTATGAACGTACAATGTATAAGTTTAATGATTTATACACCGAGATCTCGACCTGTAAACCCAAAAATTTTTTCAATTTCAGTAGAAGTTTTTTTCAGTAAAAGTTACTTGTATTTCTTTTAAAGGTGATCTAAGGGTTTATAGAGTATGTAATTAACAACCACAAGATTCAGACCAACAATAATAATTAAATATATAAGTTTATAGGTAAGTATATAAATTCGCAGAAGCATTCTTCGCAATACGCATTGACTACATTTTACAAATTTGATTACAACAATAAAATTTACTTCATACATATGAATTGAAAAAATCGAAACGACTTTTGTTTGTGCAGCATGCTAAGTATAATAATTATATCATGTAAGATTATGACAAATAATATAAATGTCTGCTTGTAGACTCGTCATTTAATGATACCATTCAGGTACAATAATCGACAGAACTAAAAATCTTTATTTGAACAAAGCTGAACCCAGAAGCAATCAGGTTGGACCAGTTCAACGACTTCCGAGGGTAAACGCTATATTTAGAGCACGTAATGGTTGTGCAACTTGTGATACGATTAAAATTAAATATCTCGCGTCTCCGATCGTTAGTAGCGTTCAATCAGAGCAGTTACGATGCAAACTTTGACAAATTTGATCGCGAGGAGGACAAAAGTCAAGCACATCTGCGTCACAAGATCATCGATGATCGTCATGGTGAGCCAACTATCACAGTTGAGAGACATCGCCGAAGGGATCCTGGTTGCCTAATTCTCGTTGCCTTTCGTCTCGTTGTACTGCGTCAGGCATTTCTTGAAGTGCTTGGCGCAGAAGGGATACAATGTCGGATGATCGCACGTTCTGCAAGCCGCTGCGAGATGAGAGCAACATCTCAGGCTTTCACGGCAACAGGAGGCCCACAAGTCGGGCCCGGCGGCGGCGCAATCGTAACAGAAACAGTCTCCTGCAATTCACATCGAGATGCAATTTAATGTCTAACGAGATTCAACGATTTCCCTAAAATTTCCTGTAAACCACTTCCTCGATTTCACCCGCGTCGATCTTTTATATCTTCATTCTTCTATCCATTCAAACTCGCGATAAGCTTCCGCGTTTTAGCGAGGATGTTACACAAATGGGATATATCGGATTTATATTTCGCATTGTAACGTTCTCCGTAAGATCTGCTGGTTGCGAGGAAATGCATTCCGGTTGCGATTCTCTAAACATTCTCGATGGAATAAGATTTAATTTGAGATTAGTAAGTATTTTCTTATACTTATTCTTGGAGAGCCTTTCATTGTAGCAATTTAAAAATTCTAAAGAATTTAGTAAATATTTATAATCGATGTGATGTTCAAGGCAGATTATTAAGTTTTATTTGCTTTAGAAGAGCATCTCGTGTTCTATATGTTTGCATTTTCCTATAACTTTTTTAGGACGACATTTAATTCGAAATTTGTTTTGCATTCAGTTGTGCAGTTAAAAAAAACGACGTAACGAACGATTTGCTTCCCGATGCTCTCGCTATACCTATACTTTCTCTTAACTATTGTATATTTCGTATCGTCTTACATATGTCACATATGGCGCACTTGCAAACCTATGACGTAAAAACGAACCATTGCGCGAATTATTGCAAAGAACGTAGAACAAGATGGAAAAGTTATACGACTTAAACATTTTCCGAGTGAGATATCGCACGCGTACCATTTTTACTCGAGAACTGGTTGCACAACGAGACACGCATTTGCGGCAGTGACATTTGCGAGTTTCTCAATCGCATAATTATTATAAATTAAGAATAAAATTTAGTTTGTCTGATTGGAATTATCCCGGAGACAACGTATTGCATTATTTTAAAAATGCATTACTCGACATTAGGCTGACATAAATTCGATTGTGTAATTTTTAATAAGTATAAAGTAGATCAATATGCGTCGTATAACATCGAATAAATAAACATGACATTTATGAAATTTATACGTTCACCACATCCGCCTGGTTCAAAAGCATGTAAAGGCGGAATTGTACATTATAAAATGTATAAAATATTCACAGAAATAATTATTTAATTAGAGTATTAGACATAAGGTTCCGCTCGATGCGTGATCTTTTTGGCGCATTCCGAAATATTTTAGCTGCAAATGTTTTCGCTCGTGCAACAGTTGATTCTTGAGAATTGCTGTATCTCGCGTGCGCCACTAATATACACATTACTCGAGAGTGCTTGAGTGTAACGTGTGTGTGTCACCTAGTTATAGTAATTAGACTTTCTCGAGCACTGATGATGACAAAATGTAGTACGTTTCCGTGACGATCCGACGTTTGAATATTCGCCTTCCGACATTGCATTGAAATCTCGTGAAAACACGTAATGATCACCCGCGTGAGCTAAATTTTTCTTATTTGAACTCATTACGTCGGGGAACTCGTTATGGAGAAAGGTGTGATGCGCGATGCAGGTCTAAAATGCGGCTACGGCGCTCTCCTTTCTACGATCTTATTCATCTTGTGCGATCGTGTCATCTCCGGTGTGGAGATCGCTAGATAAATTCAAAAATCCGGAGATAGATTCTCAATTCGCTTCATTCGCGTTTGCCTGATCCACCTTTCGAAATTAGGCAACGCTCTGATATTTTGCTATAGCATCCTCGGTATTTCATCGGGATGCGAGGCGAGGCGTTAATGCCGCGCGCGGCGCGGCGAGTAAACGCTGCGTCGGCGAGCATAGCTCATCTGGGAGCGGCTATTGTCAAGGTCAGAATCCCTATTGTCAAAGAGAGCGAATAGCGATGTATTTTTTTTTTCGTAATTGCGAGGAAACTCGCTAACGGGTACCGTGTGCGGATTGCAATGGGGTCAAACGTACATGTGATCCCGCCGACAAGTATACGAGAGGATTTACCTCGAGGACAGTCCACCGATCGCCGAGCCTCCGCCCTTCGACACTCCAGGCCCTCCTCGCCCATGGGACAGCTCGTGAACGACGCCTCGATAGTATTCTCACCGAGTATCGCGTCGATCTGAAAATATTTCATCATCATATCGCTACCTGGAGCGTGGAATTCCGTCGCGAATAACACGCTCGCCGTCTGTTACGAAACTCCATTTCAAACGTCGGCCATTAATTAACTCGCAAACGTCCGTCGGATTTAAAAAAAAATTCTTTATCGCGTTGCGTTCCCAATTGCTGATAGAAAGTTCGTGCCTCGGGAAAGTGTGCGTTTTTAATCGCACGCAGCTCGCAAAACTATATTGTTCCGGCGTTCTCGCGAAAGATCTAAAATTAATTAAATTGAAAAATTGGGTTGAGAAAACGACAGAGGAGATCGGTGGAAAAATTTGCGACTCGGACTCGCGTTTTAGCGAGAGAGACACCCCCGTGTTCGCGCATCCGCGTATACGTAAGAGGGTTCAACCCGTCGCGTCGCGAGGCACGTTTGTTATTACGGGCGACGTAATAGGACGCACCGGCGATTATTTCTCCTCGTATGCCGCGCGCGTTTATTTCTCATGCGACGGTTGCATCACGGGACGATATTCGCTCGGAATTATAAATTCGAGCGGGTGGAACCGCGACAAGAAGACAGCAGTGTTTCACTTCGGCACGAAAGTACCAAAAGTTTCCTATTTTCGGGTCTCGCGCGTCGCAAATGCCCTCTCGTGATTCTATCTTATTAAATTCCAAACGAGTCAAGCCGAAAGCACACCCTTGGCTCGATTATTTCATTAGAAGATTTTAATGCAAGATTCCGTCGGAAGATTACACTGTTAAACTGTTGAGTATAATTTGACATCATGGATGTCAAATTATACTTAATTTGAGTCATTTTTAACCACTCCTATAGGCTGCCACTACCCAATATATCATTAATGCAACTAAAACAATGCAAACTTAATTAAACTAATGGAGTTATATAAGATAATAAATTTCAACACACACGGTGGTTAAAAATAACAAGATGTTATTTGACTCAAGGTATTGATTTAAATTTCATCCTTTAACATTTAACAGTGTATTATATAATATTATATAATAGAATGTACATATATAAGCGAGTTTGCGTGATCCCGAACAATTATAAATATACCAACAATTTTGAAATAACTTTAGGAACCGAGTCCATCGTCCTCCGGCTTACCCGCTTGAACGCGCCCGGTTTGGAGAACATCTTCACCAGTTTCGCCAGCGCGTTCTCCGCTTGGATCTGTTCCGCGACATCGGTGACGTTCGTGGACTCGCAGTGGATTCCGTGTGGCCGAGGAAACGCCAGCAGACCGAAGAGGAACGCGATCACCCACCGGCCGGAGATCATTGCGCGAGATGTAAAAAAAAGAGAGAGAGAGATAACGAGATAAAAAATTGAGACGAGCTCGCGCGTTCGATCCCGCGCGATTCGAAACAGACGACTGGTGGTGATCAGCTGGCCGGGAACTCGGTGCTCGTTGAGTATACCTGGTGGGGATCTCCCACATCGACGTGGAAAAGCATCGTCTCGTATACGCGGAATTTGTTCGGTCTGTGAAAATATAAGAACACACTTTATCCGACCGCGTAATGTAGGCGGACTGCAAATGCGTTTAATTTTCTTCATTATTATGCGATTATTGCGTAATTTCCCGTACATCGTTAATCGATGATTACACGAGGCTTTCGACATATCTTCATGAAAAAAAAATATATAGAATGACTTGTAAACGAAGAAGGCTTGGCGACTGACTCATCATGTTCTCATCATGTCCTGTGTTCATTTTTCTCCGTGAAAATCTAATTTATTTAACAATCTGATTCAACAGATATTTAACAATGAATAATGTTTATATTTATACATTTATATTTGCATTAGATATATAACATAAAACACTCGTTCTTTGCACATCAAACGGAATGAACAGGTGGAAAAAGAGAATCCAAAATTTTCCCGCATTCGTTCTCTTAATAATTCATTAATTATTTAAGGATAACTTCGACCGAATTTCGATTAACTTAATTATCGATTAAATTATCAATTATTATAAGTTAATTTATTGAATGCAATATAACTATATATAGTCAATCAATATATTGAATGTTGGAGCGAACGGCAAAATATGTATTGATTTTTTTTCTACATTCGATCTGTCTGTAAAAATTCAGTAATGGTTTTCTCATAAATTTTCTTTCAAGTTTTCTTAATACTTAAATAATAATTAATGACTTATTAATTATTAATAGGAATAATATAAGTTTTGTACGTAACAGTTATTCGCTGACAAAGCAATATTAAAAAAATAATACTTGGTTAACAATTACATATTTATAATGTTATGAGAGAAAATATATAACATCAAATTATTTTCTTACTCAAATAAATGATTAATTATAATTAAGGACTCTCGATATTAAAATTAACGAGTGACAAGGAAAAGTGGGCTTTGAGAGTCAAACGCGATTAATTGTGCGTGAGTTAAAGCTATGTAACATTTCATTAATAATTTAATTCACGCGCACAACTAACCGCGTTTGACTCTCAAAGCCCACTTTTCCTCGTTTCTCGTTATTTTATTAATATTATTTTATTTTAATTCTATATAAATGTATATTTATTAATAAATTAAATGTATTAAGTACTTGGAGTTAATTAAATTTATTAAAAATGGGTTATTTAATTAATTTAATTCGAACTCAGTTTCTTTTAGAGTTTTGTTTAAAAATTTAGAAATTAAGTAGGTATAGCATCCATCGTTACGTTCTAGAAAGACCATTAAATGAAAGTAAAATCATTAAAGTCATATCTGTTACATTAAAAAAATTATTCTTGTATTAATCTTTTAACTACAGCTAACAAGTTGGACATGGAGCTATAGAACCACCTGTACGCACAGCTCTGCTGCAAAATTTGTCTAAAAAGCGAACGTTTTTTCGACGAAACGTATGCAGATTAAGACAATTGAAAATATTCCTGCTTGATAGTGACAAGATATCGAGCGATAGAAAAGAGCTTAATCTCAAAAGATGTTTAGAAAAAAGCCACTTTAGCGGGATTTTCTAAAGAATAGATTAGCGAGAAACCATTATAGCGTTGCATGGTAACTAAAGGGTTAAATATTTTTATTTATTTTAATATTATAATTGACCTGGCGGCTAGACTATATATTAGAAAAGGCGAGTCTTAAAAAAAAGACACAATTAATTAAAATTAAATATTCTCGGCTATGTGAGAATATTACAAGAATTACGATCTTACGTATTCTTATAAATTTGGTACTTTATTAATGTCACGTGTACGAGAAAACTTTCTGAGTGTGGGGCCCACGGACTCATCCAGTATAGCCTCGAGAAACTCATCTCTATCTATAACAGAAGAGAGAATGCACGGAATTAAAAATCTAAACGAAACAAAGTTAACCCTTAAAGCGCACATGGGGTGTAGGATACCCCACTCCAAACTTTGTGCTCTGATAAGTCCCATTAAAATGTCTTTTTCAATAATTTTTTAAACAATGTTAATTTTAAGAAATCGCTATAACTTTTGTTTATATATCTTTAAAATACATGACTTTAACTTCATTCAGAAATTTTTATGCAATAAAATAGTCAATAGTGTCGTTACAGTACATACTTAAAGACACTGGAGTATCTCATACCCCCAGTGCGCTTTACGTAATTTTTCGGAGGTGTGCGCTTTAAGGGTTAAATTATAAAATATATACTATCAAAAATGAAAATAAATGTATAAATATATGTAAATGTTATAAATATATATGTATAAATAAACAATTAAAAATTTTATCAAGTAATTATATAGTTTACGTGTATACAGAAAAAATAAAAGTAATTTTAATTTTAATTTTGATATAATTTTGGCAAATTTTATCTTTTAATAAAATAAAACAAAAAAAAGATAAAGAGACAAAAATCATCTGTTCGCTCTCTTTCGACCCGGTAGTTTTCGCTCGGCATTTTTAATTTACGTAGGATTCGTACAAGATGCCTTTGATGATGAGCTGAATGAGCCGATCGTTTTTCGCCGAGGTGGTCGGATGCGCGGGGTCGACGCTCTTCCTGTCGCCCGGCAGAAACTTCTCTACCAAAGGGTGAACCTCGCGGAACCATTGCATTGCGGAGACATTGAGTTTTGATTATTCATGGAACGTATAATCGTCTTCTGATAATAAAGTCATTTTACAAAAATACATTTTGGTTTCTGCAAAATAATTGTGATCATTCGAATTACGATAGGTTTGTCGAGATACAGAGAAAATTTGAAAAATTTATAATATAACGTTTACGATTTTATAATCGGATATGACATGATGGAAAAACATGTAATTGTCGCACACTTAACACTTAGGAAGAGTCATATTAACACGAGGAAACTAAAATGATGTAAAATTAATATATCAAATTCGTTGGACTATCAAACTAAAACCTTTGATTTTTAACTTTCTATCTTTAAAAAAAAAAACTTTGCACAAACTAAGCAATACGTATTACAAAAATGATATTTGATTCTGAAAAATATTGAAGTTGCCGCGAATATTACTAGCAATTTAACATGATATTACCGTATCGCTAATAGATATCACTAATATCTGAGAATTATAAAATCGCTTCAGGAATTTACCTTCTGGTTTCAAGTTTCGCGTGCTATAATATAATGCGGGAAAATAAAACGCAGACGAAAGATTGCTTAGCTGAATATTTATTGATTGCTGAATATTTATATTCAGAGTGGCCCGCAGCGAGAGAGAAGTCTAGGCTCTAGATCAACGTCTCAGCATCCAACCACCCACTTATGCGATAATCAGGGCACGTCTGCGGGTACACTGGCCTCGTAGTGCAACGAAATTTCGAGAAAGTGCTATTTCGTGCATTCCATATATGCATATCATTACTGAGTTTCGTAATCGTGCATTTTACAACAAACGGAAGTCCGCGCGCGAATCGAATTGTTGCAGCAACGATTGTTAATGCGTACATGAACAACGCATACTTTTTTAAAAATTTCATGACGTCCGTATTTTTCGAAACGATTTCACAATGTACAAAGTACAAACTGACGAAATTATGGAATGCGGAAAAATTCAACATAACGTCAGCGATTTTTCAGGTTATTTAAGTTAGTACCACTGAGGAATCGCGTTAGTCACATCAAGTGAAACTGTAAGAGCAACACGATGTTTTCGCACCGAGGATTAGTGAGTAAACTTTTCTGACATATGTTATATGACATATTATATTTATTTAATATTTTTATGAGTTTTTAACTTCTGGAATTAGAACTTTTTAATAATAAAATCATGTCATCACCGTTAGACAGAAATTTTGTAAAAATCAATACGTAATAAATTAATAAAACGTTTATTTCTTTTCTGCATTTTACTTTTCCTCTAATTCGATTTTTATACTAATAAAATAATATTCCATAGTAAATCCATAAATATGTAATCTCTCTCCCAATAATTTTAAATTATTAATTAAATAAATAATTTAGGGAACAAATTTCTGCCATATCGAATATCTATTCAAGAACAATCTGCATAAAATTTCCTTAATTATTTTTTTTCAGTTCTTAGCAGTGATGACAATCTCACTAGCAAGTATTTCACTTGCCAACGTCCTCGTTCAACCCGGATATAAACATCAATACGATAGCAATCGACGTTATTTGCAAGATCAGTCTGCTCCGCAGTACTGGACACAGTCTCCGATTGAACAATATCGCGCGGAACAATTACCGGACCAGGAATCGACGCAATATCGTCCGGGAGTTCAAACAGTGTATCCCTATGAATCGAATCAAGCCGATGCTCGTTCGCATGTGTTAAGCTATCCACATCGTCCACCGTACCACCATTATTTACCGAGGTCACACCATGTGCATTTCGCAAGAATAGGAGGTCATGGATATGTACGGCCCTCGGTGTATGGATATGTCGGCCATCCTCAATCTTTGGTAAGTGCTCATTATTCTATTACTTGATCTGAGAAAATAATATAAGTATAATGTTTTATTAACTTAACATTCGTAATATTTTATTTATATTACTATCATTTCATTGAAAGTTCAAATTTTATTTAATTTGATATTTTTAAGTGTAATATTCAATTCAAAACACCTGTATGTAACACCAAGCAATTTGCTTATGCGACAATAATGTACGTCACTGTATTATTGACAAACAGTTTTTGTTAAAGTTAATTATATAACACAAACGCTAATATTTGTCGTGTTTTTGTACAGAAATTGATCATGTAAGTTACTGAATATTTCTATTTCATAAGAATGATATTTCTCCAGATGGTACACAACCGAAGGAAAAGATCGGATCCTGCAAGCACTGAATCCAGTAAATCTGAGGTCGTTGCACATGACAATGATGTGGCCGCGAAGTCGCCCTCAACTGACGCCAAGCATCCTACAACCATCGACTCGTTACTTCCAGAACATGAGCCTACTGATACTACTGGTAAATATTTCATAGAACAAGATTAAAATTTGACATCTTCAAATAATAACCTAATGCACCGCTTATCTTAAAAGTCGTGTAACTTCTTTCTTATACGAGTTCCAATGAGACACAAACGTAAAAAAATTAATTAACCGGTATTCACATAGTCGGTTCTTATATTTAAGACCATCTTAAGTACAATCTTAAGATGTCATTAACCAATCACAGAGCCGTATTATCACCTTAAGACATTAAAATCAATTATTTATTACTCGACTACCTGGCTTAAATTATATATAAGTGCACAACGTTTCGGCTCACGGTTAGAGCCCTTATCAAGTGCCGTCTGAAATATGAACATCGCGATGTAACACAATAAAAAATATATAAATTGGAAATTAGTCATAAAAACAGAGAGCGTTACCTAATCGTCAATAAGACTCGTCATATATTAGTCAAGACCTCCTTTCGTTCATGGGAATGTCCCAGCATTATCACAAAGCGCAAACTACGGGAAATCACTCATATAAAACCGATATACAGAGAAAGAGATGTGACAATCAATGATGATGATCAATGATGATGATTTCGAGATTCGGGTTTTCCTTCGGTATGTAGATGATATTTTTGCCATAGTGCCGAAGAATGCGGTCAATGTGATGCTTGACGTCTTTAATAATTATCACCCCCGTTTACAGTTCACCTTCGAAACTGAGGTTGATAACTCTATACCTTTTCTTGATACATTAGTCATAAGAGATGGTGAGAGGCTAATTACGAACTGGTACAGAAAGCCGACCTTTTCGGGACGATATATAAATTACTTCTCCAATCATCCACACAAATATAAAATTAACACCATTACTAACTTGGTTGACCGTGCTGTTTTGTTATCGTCTGTTGAAACGTCTGAGAGATCGCCACTATCTTTTCTGTTCTTCAATTTTATTTAATATTTTTATGAGTTTTTAACTTCTGGAATTAGAACTTTTTAATAATAAAGCCATATGTCATTAGCGTTAGACAGAAATTTTGTAAAAATCAATACGTAATAAAACGTTTATTTCTTTTCTGCATTATACTTTTCCTCTAATTTGATTTTTATACAAATAAAATAATACTCCATAATAAATGCATAAATATGTAATCTCTCTCCCAATAATTTTAAATTATTAAATAAATAAATAATTTTGGGAATAAATTTCTGCCATATCGAATACCTGTTCAAGAACAATCTGCATAAAGTTTCGTTAATCATTCTTTTTTAGTTTTTAGCAGTGACATTCTCGTTAGCGAGTATCGCACTTGCCGACGTCCTCGTTCTATCCGGCTATGAACATCAATACGATAGCAATCCACGCTATTTGCAACATCAATCTGTTTCGCAGCACTGGATACGATCTCCGATTGAACAATATCGCGCGGAACAATTACCGGACCAGGAATCGACGCGATATTTTCCAGGAGTTCCGGAATTGACATCGCGGTCAGAAGCCTCAACAACAGAAAAAAATGAAGATCCAAAAGAGACTAAGCGTAAAAGAATGGAAGAATTGAGGCGTAGAAAGCAATTTATCTACCATTTAGGCGGAGGCCGCCGCTCCCCTCAACCCTTAGTAAATGTTCATTATCCTATTACTTGATCAGATGAAATGATACATGTTTTATTAACTTAACATTCACGATATATTATTTATATTACTATCATTTTATTGAAAGTTCAAATTTTATTTAATTTGATATTTTTAAATGTAATATTTAATTCGAAACACCTAATATGTAACACCTATATAGCAATTTGTCTTATGCAACAAATATGTACGTCACTGTATTATTGACAAACAGCTTTTCTTGGAGTTAATTATATAGCACAAACGCTAATATGTGTCGTGTTTTTGTACCCGAATTGATCATGTAAGTTACTGAAATATTTCATAAGAATGATATTTCTCCAGATGGTACACAACCGAAAGAAAAGATCGGATCCTGCAAGCACTAAATCGAGTAAATCTGAGGTCGTTGCACATGACAATGTTGTGGCCACGAAGTTGCCCTTAACTGACGCCAAGCATTCTACAGCCATCGACTCGTTACTTCCAGAACATGAGTTTACTGATACTACTGGTAAATATTTCATAGAACAAGATTAAAATTTGACATTTTCAAATAATAACCTAATGCACCGCTTATCTTGAAAGTCGTGTAACTTCAGCTTATACGAGTTCCAATGAGACGCAAACGTAAAAAAATCAATGTACCGACATTAGTACGAATTCACTTGAATGTAATCTGTTTCATTACAGATAAGCATGTGGAAAACCGTCAGATTGAAAATAACTACATGATAACACATCCACATTCATTCGGTTTTTATACAAAAGATACGCACCCTGTAAATATATCCGACATTTACAACGGAATCATGCAACTTATATTTGAACTTTATGCATATCTTAAGCCGCTCTTCAGTTCTTCAACCGCACAAAAGGTATATTTTGGCGACGATTCACGCCTTATTTTAATAGACCTTTTATGAGATGCGCGCAATATCTTCGAATTTGTGGAAATCGGACCATAACGATTATAGTAGTAAATTCGTTTTATGTGCTTAAAAATTTTTATTTTTGTCCGATCTATAGAAATTTAATTGATTATTACGACCAAGACGATATGGATTTCTTGCGCAAATATTTTGCAATTAAAGTTTAAAAATTTAATTAAATTTCTCAATTTAAATTTGATTAATGAAATGCATTATGTGTACAACTTTAACTCTTAAATGCCACCCGGGGTCCAGCGGACCCCAGACCCTTTAGAATGAAATGTTTTCAAATGTTCTTGCCAAAAATGGAGCTCATGCTCCCATTGATGATAGTTGAGTGATTGACCTACCCGTTTGTACACTTAGCAGTACTCAGTTTACTTAATTTTTTATACTATGTTGAATTTAAAATTTTAACAATATAAGCATTTTATTCTCTTTTCTAAGCCTTGAACAACATTGAAAATAATTTTCATAACTAAATATAAAAAAATCAATGAGTAAGGAGACATTTTTCATGCTGGGGTCTTTTAGACCCCATGTGTCATTTACGAGATTCTTGAGAGGTGTGGCATTTAAGGGTTAATATTGAAAATGGAACATTTTTCGAACATTATAAATATGTTTCATAAAGTTTAAAAAATATTCTTTTCTGCAATGTATAATATATAAATATTCGTATATGGTCTATGATACAAAAGTTTTTATATGATATTTTTAGAAAAAGAGAAAAAAAACGAAACATTTTTACATAAATTTTAATAAAACGCATCATGTATGTTACAGAAAATCACAAATATGCACAATGCTCCAGTATACAATGCTCCAGTATTATACGATGCTCCAGTATACAATAATCCAGTATACAATGCTTCATCAGTATACAATGCTCCACTATGTTATAGGTTAATATGTATTTTTTTATCCTTTTAAATAACTTCTGAATATGTGTTTATATCATTAAGGGCCGGTTGTTCCACCTTTCGATAAATCTCGGCTTACTCGACAGATTACTACCTATAGGATAAATCTTACCGGGTAGTTTACCAGCTATTTAGTGAGCGTTGTTCCACGGTTATTAATCCTATACAAATTCTATATTATCATATTCGTTAAATAAATCTGGACGTGGACGAAATGTATATCGCTTGCGAAGCACCACTATATATATTTCTTCATCAGATTCTTTGTTATCATCTTCGTCACCATAAAGAAATTGATTTTCGCATAATCCTGGTTCCATTTTCGATACCGTCCGATATCGTCCGTTCGATAATATCCAAATTCTTTATCGCAAAATATTAATATACAAATGCGTGAAACGTCAGATACACCAGCGCTGCGCATCTCCCGCTGACGGGGTATGATTTCTAATCCCACTACGCATTTATCTGTCAGATAAGTCTTACACAGTACCCAAAGTACCGTGTAATTTATCTGTCGATAGTGGCCATTTATCAGGAAGTTAAATTTTACCGAGAAATGGAACAACGCTCTACAGACATTTTATCCATCAGATAAGTTACCAGATAGTTTATCTGAAAGTGGAACAACCGGCCCTAAAGTAAGTAAATATATAATATAAAGCATAATATAAAGTGAATATAATACCACTTAATACATATAATATTAAGTTATACATATAATAATTATTATTAAATTACTCCTTTCCTTCTATTATTTTCAAATCAAACAGTGAAATAAAGAGGCTCAAGAATAAACAAAAAAATTACTCTTACACAAAATAAAAAATAATATTTGCCGCAAAGTTGTTCCATTTGCGCCCGATACCTCTCCCAACCCAAGCCTCCTCCCCCTTTCTGATTGTCCTCTTAGGTTGTCATGTTGAATCAATGTAACGCTTTCCGCTTTCCTTATTTTCTGAAACATTTAAATAAGCAATTCGATTAGAGAAAAATAGGCGAAGTTTTCATATATAACATGATATATAAAAATCAATTATATACACTCACCACTTTCTCTTCTTCTTTCGTGCTCAACATGGATAGCAAACACAGTAAATTTAATTTTAACGTGAAAGCAATTGAAACCATAAAAGAAAATTCAAAGTGTAAAACTCAGCGCATAAGTAATATCAACATTAGTAATAGTCAGGTTGTATTTTGTGTCGATCGACAAAACCCAGCGGTAACGAGGCTTTTTCTCATCAGATAATGGTAAAGATGTGTAAGATAATGGTAAATCTGCAGTATAACGGCAGCTTTTCCGATTTGTGAATTTTATATATTTTGTATTTTGGACGAAGAAGAAGATTCTGAGAAAGAAAATTGTCGTTCCGTTTATTTATATCGGTCTCGCTCCGCGTGTACTTGGCGCGAGACACTACCGTGTCTCTTGATATAATTTGTTAATTTTTTAATAAAAATGCAATAAATTATTAAAGTAATAATAGAGCAATAAGGAGCAGTTAAGAAGCAATTATTTTATGCTGGATTTAGTTGCACAAAATTATTAAAAATATGTTTTTGAGTGATAATTATAAATTTTACGTATTTTGTAAATATTTTTAAAAATATTAATTTTAAAAGGGGAACAATTGATTCTAAAGGAGCAATTAAAGAGCAATTATTTAAGTTATTAAAAAATATAAATTTCCAACGCCAAAACTTGTTTCCGGTATCATTTACTTGTTAATTAATTTTTTATTAAAATAGAGTAGTTTTCCAAATAATAAAATATATTTCGACACTTTATATCCAAATAATTCTGGAGCAATTGAATAAGAAAAAAAAATTTTCATACAACATTGCTAGTGCCGGGAACTTTTTAGAAAATGCTTCAGTATGTTCAGAACTATTAAAAAAATATATTAGATAAACCGGAACTGCGTACATTTCGTACAGCATATCAATCTATTCTTTCTAATGCGTGACGCTCGGACGACATAAATTTATTAAAAAATCATACAATATTGCTCTATAGAGAACTCTTTAGAAAATGCTTCAGAACTATTTGAAAAATGTTTTATATAAATAGAAACTTCTAGATTTCGTCGGTATCTTACTCTATGCTACGGAAAACTAGCAGAAAATTTTTTCAATGGACTTTTTTTGGCAAAATTACCAGAACTATCGTTAAGGTCGTTCTGGTCCAGTCGTGCTCAACTTGAATTCATGCTTAAAAAGATATTTATATACAAAATATTACATATAATAAAATCTAAAAATAATTTAAAATGGACTTTGCAAAATTGAAGAATAAACTTCAACTTTGATGGCGTGTATACAGGGAGAACGAAATTTATTCTCTCATGATATATACTGCTCATGATATATATGAATTATGAATATCGTAAAAGTGATAAGTTGCGCATGATTTGACATTTGAATCGTCGAGCGACTCCGGGCAGGAGGAAGAAGGAAGGGGAGCATTGAGAGGTACATACAATTAAGTACGAAAGAAAGAAAAAGAAGATTATCTGTCCTTTTCTAATGTCCGAAGATAGTCGAAGTTCCGATCGCGCACATATACATATATATATGCTTTTTCTGGGATCAGTGTGTTTAAGCGGAGGCCGCGTTTTTCTGCGCATGCGTGGCGAGTAACATCGATGCAAGCAAATAACTTAATATATTAAAAATTTGAATATGTTATAGATTCTCATATTAGAAAAAGCGAGTCTTAAAAAAAAAAGACACAATTACTTAAAATTAAATATTCTCGGCTATGTGAGAATATTACAAGAATTACGATCTTACACGAAAGGGCCCGAAGGTACCCGTATTCTTTATGACTATGAATTTGGTACTTTATTAATGTCACGTGTGCGAGAAAACTTTCTGACAATGAGTGTGGGTATGCGCGTGTGTGGTGTGCATCGGGTGCATCTCCCCTCCATTTGTTTAGTGCGTCTTCGTTGACTTCGTTCTGACATCGCTGGGTAGAGGCCGGTAGAGTAGATCTCGTTTGGCTTCGGTTCGCTCGTCGGGTTCGTGTGGTCGTGTGTGGTGAAATGTTAAAATGGCGTCTTCTCAGGACGCTTGGTATCTCTCGTTGCTCGGCCTGGCCGAGAATTTCCGCACGTCGAATCCGCCCGACATCAAGTCGTGCATCCAGTGTCTGCAGGCGGTCTTCAACTTCAAGCCGCCGCCGCGCGTCGAGGCGCGCACTCACCTTCAGCTCGGCAACATCCTGCTCACGCACACGAAAAACATCGATTTGGCGCGATACCACCTGGATAAAGCGGTCAGTATTTCACCTCGTTCGCGTCTACCACGATCGAGATCGTGTAATTTCGCCCCTCCTTTTTGCCCGCCTCCGTTTCTTGCTGTCCCCCGCGCAATTTGCGCGATTCGTGAATGCTTGCCTCCCGTCCTAACCTCTCCGATGACAACAAATAATGCGTCGTCGAACGGTTACGTCAGTCGCGAGTTTCACAGAGATGCATTAAGTCGAAGCTTATCGTCGTCTTTGATGACTCTTGTAATTGACTCTCGGTTATTCTCTTTAGTGGCGACTGAGTCAGAACATAAATACATTCGACGACGTCAAGTTTGAGGCAGCCAGCGTCGTCGCCGAACTGTACGAGCAACAGCTGCAGCCGAACCTGAGTAAACCGATTTTGAGGAAGGCAATAGAATTGTCTCAGCACAATGTCTACTGGCACTGTAGGCTCATCTTTCAACTTGCGGTAAGCTTAATCAGCTTAATTTCTCATGTCTCAAATAGACAACGTACTCACGTTGACTTATAAATTGCAGCAAATTCATGCCTCAGAGAAGGACTTTGTCGCAGCGAGCAGCTTGCTCGCGGTGGGTGTCGATTATTCTCACATAAGCAACGCCAGTTATACCCGAGTGCTCTTTCTCTTAAGTCGGTGTATGCTGCTGTTGATAGACAAGAAGTTCACTGAGGTTCATCCTCTGCTAAATTCAGCGGGCCATCATGTGGAGAATTGGCAAGGCAACCCGCATCAAAAGGAGTATCTGAAGGTGTACTTTCTAGTTCTTCAAGTGTGCCATTATCTTATGGCAGGCCAGGTGAGAATAGTCACGACTGTTGTAATTATAAAAAAATATGGGCCATAGGTACCATTCTAATGATGACGTATTGTCTTTGTGCTAAAATAGGTGAAGAGCGTGAAACCTTGTTTGAAACAACTGCAACAAAGTATACAGACTATAATGTCGCCTAGCTGGCCGGCAGACGATGTGGTTACGGGCTCCAATATTGGGGATATGTTTATATGGATGCCGAAGGATCATTTATACGTCTTGGTTTATTTAGTAACCGTTATGCATTCTATGCAAGCCGGTTACATGGATAAGGCACAGAAATATACCGATAAAGCGCTTAGTCAAATTGAAAAACTGAAAAGTAAGTACGCGCGTTACTTTTTAATTGATTCAAAGTAGTTTGTTATTTTCGATTTACAATTCACCTCGTATTCCTTTACTCACAAACCTTCGAGTCTCCAATCAATCTCTTATAAATCGAGGTATATACAGGATCTATCAGGATCTGCCGACTACGAGTCGATCGCTCTCATATAGAACCATGTTTCTCATCTTGTGCATTTTATTCTCTTACATTTTATTGGTTTAACACTCAACAAAATCAATTTTATTGTTTTTTTTACAGTTATCGATAACAAACCTATCTTGTCTGTGTTTCAATTAATGCTTTTGGAGCATATAATTATGTGTCGGCTTGTAATGGGAAACAAAAGTGTAGCTCTTATGGAAATTTCTCAAGCTTGTCAACTCTGCAGGCGGCAACCTAGGTTACTACAGGGTCATAGACCACAATTACATGTATTACTAGGGTTATACGCAATGTCTATGAATTGTATGGAAGCTGCAGAGGCTCAGTTCATTGCTGCACTCAAAGTAAGAAAATAGAATTGTTTCATCATAAATTGTGATAAATAATTTAAGACTTATACGTGTTATTCTATCTTTAATCTATGTAAATTGCTCATGTGTGTATTCTCGTTTAAACACTTTTTTTTTTTATTCTGGCTTGATTTTGCACGCAAATATAATGTTAGATCTATGGAGTACTTATAGCGATGACAGAGAAAATATTATTTCACCTTTTTTTTTCAGACGTCACAAGAAAAGGAACTCTGGACATTCGCGCATTTGAACCTAGCGATAGTATATCTCAGATCAAAGAGGGAAGCCGAATTGGGAGCGTTGTTAGAAAGGATAAATCCAGAATCTCTACCATCACATTCTCATTCTTTGAGGGCAGCTGCATATTACGTACAAGGACTCCAAGCTTTCTTTGGTGCTAGATACAATGAAGCAAAGTACGTACGATTTTTAAAATGTTTAGTCTCATATCCTAATAAATACATGAAACTTGTAATTTCCCGAAAAAAAAGATGAAAGATTGGATAATCTGATTCTTAGTTAGCAATGTTAAAAAATCTCAGTAATATATAAAACAAATCGAATATATTGATGTAAATGTGCTAATATGATTTTTATAGGCGATATCTTAGAGAAACCTTAAAAATGGCAAACTCGGAAGACTTGAACAGACTCACTTCCTGTAGTCTCGTGCTTTTGGGACATATATTTCTTTCTTTGGGAAATAGTAGAGAATCGATGAATATGGTCACACCTGCGATGCAATTAGCTTCTAAAATACCTGATGTACATGTACAACTGTGGGCTACTGCCATTTTAAAAGGTATGTGCAGATTGAAAAGTAAATAGTAATTTTTCAATTATCTGTACGCTTATATAATTGAAATATTGCAGATTTGTATAGAATTTGTGGTGAGCCTAATCGCGAGAGCGAGGCATATCAAATGCACTGCACATTCTCTCAAACCCTTCTGAAGGACCATTTTCAGAGCACACAAATGAGTGAGCATTCGCTCATTCAATGGACAGACGGCCCAATGCCCGCATCGCCAACCAATCCACCACCATCCACGTCGCAAGCAATTCTCTAATGGTATAAAAGATATTTAGGTGTGTCTATTTACTTAAATTGTCCAGAACTGTCTGAAACCATGTATATTTGTACTAATTATTCCTTGAGTTGTAAAATGAAGTTGGGTTTAGCCTCATTCAGTCTCGGATATTAAAAGAACTATGATAATGTTTAAAAATATCGGATTTAATTGCGAGTAAGGCGGTAAATATAGAAGGATTAATGGATATTTGATATAATATCCAGATTTTTTTGATACGTGAGATATCTGTAGGAGTATATGGCAACTAGATATAGCAGAGCTTGATAGCAATTTATAGTATTATTTGAATCATCGAAATTGTACACGGCAGGGATTGACTAATTTAGATCATTAATATTTTGTTTACTTCAGTTAATAAACATTAAATCATTTTTTATTCAAGAGGATACAAATGCTAATTATCGTAATGCAGAACAGACCCGTTTTTTCAGATTTATATGACCCGTTCTGCCGCACAATGCGTTTAGACAAGATTTGTATTGCACATATAGGGAATAGATCGGAATATTGAATAAAGATTTTTTCTCGTCGCCGGGCCGAAAGTGACAACTTTCATCCCGCTACGCGGGATGAAGTTGTCGCGTTTCGGCTCCGTCGAGGAGAAAAATCGTATACACACCACGGGCAGTAAATAAGGAAGCCTCAGATCACATGTTTGTCGACCTCGGCTCCGCCTCGGACGACAATTACATGTGATCTGAGACCTTCCTTATTTTACTGCCCTAGGTGTGTAATATACTATTATTTTTGTTTGAAAATTGTTAATTTTATATTTCTGATTAACATACTAATCTAAAAATCTTTTTTTTTTTTTTACATCACTTAATTGCAATATTTTACATTATACAGTCTTCATAATGATATCTTAATTACAATTTCATTATATAGACAAAATCTTGTTTGGAAACACATAATTCATCTTCGAAATTTTATTATGTGACTAAGGAAGATGGGGAACAAGTATCAAAATTTAGATATTAAATTTTGTATATATTGAATAATAAGAACGATGAAATCGAAGTAATTAACTCTTTCTCATCACTATCAGCAAGGTTTGACAAATTATCCGTGTATCCAGTGGATTATCAAAATTATTTTATTGGTTCTTATTTAACGTTACCTCTTCTTTTTTTTTAATGACCAAAGTAAACATTAATAATTTGGCTGTGGCACAACAGAATAACAATTCATTAAGCGGTATAATAAAAATAAATAATGGGTACGGAACTTTGCAAATTGGTTAAAGAGATGCAAATTCTTTACCTATTATATGTACAAGATGTTTCGGTATATATACATGTATTTTTATTAAGATGATATATGTATGTATTGTATGAGTATATAATAAAATGTAATTGTTATATATTAGTATTAGTTACAGTAATAAATAAAGAAAGAAAGGGGCCTTAGAACGTGGTAACTTAAACGGCAAAGAACTTGTGTGTAAAATTCTTTGCTTTATTTAAATTATTCTGAACATACTTTGTATATACTTTTAAAAGTAAAAAGATACGTACGTGCAAACAATAAAATAGAGAATGTAATAAAAACATAGGTTTGTACAAATATTTGTTTTCTCAACATAAAAAAGTACAAACTTCATTTATCATGGTATGTTTTCTGATATGTATATATATATATATAAATCACTATTAATATCTCATTACTACTCTTATTGCACAGATTTATTAATATAGTACGATTTTATGATTATTCTGCTATCGCTCTTTCGGAAAGATAAATTTAAGATATAAACTGGTAATAAAGAGAAGAAGAGGGGACAGAAGAGGACACAATTTTTTGACAAGATAAAATTAATAAAGATTTTTACAATTTTGCATTCAAACTTAAATATATAAAGAGTTGCGTCTTTTTTTATATTATAATACATATATTAAAAAGAAATCGGAATTTTTTCAATTATTATCGTCACACAATTATGTGCGATAAAATGTATACATTCGATTAATATATATTCTAAATTATAAAATATATATATGTATATATTAAAAATGAAAATATATTAACTAATATTTTTTATATCTTAGCAATCTGTAATGTTTGTGTGATTCATTATGTAGCGATAATATAGTGTTGCAAAATATATTACGTTTTCGTATCTTTTTCTAAATATGCATGCAAAGTAAACGAGGTTGATTTATGGCAATAAAAACATTTATTTTTATTTAAATGTGATTTATTTTGTCACATTTTTGGGTGACATGCAACTCCCCTATTGCTTAATTATGTGTCAATTACCTTACAATTTTTAAATATTTTATACATTTATTACTATAGACGTCAGGTACATTACTTCCTGTACCAAACTTGTGCAGTTTGCATACGTTTTATCTTTTTCTGTAACTGAAGAACACCATACAATAATGCTTCAGCTGTTGGGGGACAACCTGCAACATATTGAAGGTTTATATTTGTGAATAAAATAAGATTAACATGTACATAAAATAAAGAATATAAATAATTGCAAATTTACCAGGCACGTAAATGTCCACAGGTATTATCCTGTCGCAACCCCTGACCACGGAATAGCTATAATGATAATATCCGCCTCCGTTCGCGCAACTTCCCATGGAGATGACCCATCGAGGTTCAGGCATCTGATCGTAGATCTTCCTCAGGGCAGGTGCCATCTTATTCGTCAAAGTGCCGGCGACTATAATAACATCTGACTGTCGCGGCGAGGCGCGGAACACCACGCCGAATCTGTCCATGTCGTATCTAGGCGCCGCAATGTGCATCATCTCCACGGCGCAGCAGGCTAAACCGAAGGTCATCGGCCATATCGATCCTTTACGTCCCCAATTTAGTATGTCGTCTATTCTGGCTAGGGCATACTCTGCCATGTTACTGGGCTGTTGAAACGGGCTGTACGGCTCGACTTTCGGTTTCTCTGGCAGCTCAGGCTTCGCCTTCTGCACGGACGACTCCGTGGCCATGTCTTTAGTCTGAACCTTCAATGTAGCAGCAGCAGGTCCTGACGTCGCTACATTGTTACGGACCAGGGACACTAGTCCCTGAGGGACATCTGCAAAAGAAGAAAAAAAGTAAGAAATAGGTAAATCATTGTAAATGATCATATGGTAAACATCAATATCCCAGTTGCGTTTGGAAGGTTATGATAGCATTTTAATCGGCCGAACGTTTCGGTATAAATTGTACAACTACGCGAACAGACAAATGCGCGTCGAATTTCGCGACGTATTTTAGTGTGCAATCTTATGCAATAGCCGCGGTATTAAAACGGAAAGTGCGCAAGAAGCGAAATTTGCTCAACGACGATATCGATTGTCCGCGGTCCGGATGCACGCATTTTACCCGATACGGGATTAAACGTGCGTTTCGTCTAACGGTGCATCAGGCTCGAGTATCGAGGCATTCGTTTAATGGCAATCTCATAATTCACAGTGAAATAACTTACGTGTAACGGAACGAAACATATCTCCGACCTTCCGTGGACTTACTAGTGCTAACTGCTGCTACATCGTAGGTTATGCGGGCGCATGCGCCAATTATGATTAAAGACCCGCAGTTTAAATGTGATTTTTTACTAGCCATCCACTTTTTGACTCACTTATGAACTGAATTAAATTACATCGGCATCTCCGAATCTTTTATTTCCATTAATGGAAACGGTCAACACGTGACGGGTTTGCTCCGAGATGAGTGACTCGTTTAATTGGTAATTAGAATTTATATTAATTTGCATAATGCGAAAGCGAACGCCGTATAAGACGAGTATCTAGCATTTGTTGCATAAAATGCGAAAAATGAACGCAAAGTTCGGGACGCGTAGCGTCCGCGTCGCCGCGTCGCTCTTGAAGTTGATCGCGCGTGAAGTTGACCGCGCGTAAAGTAGACGAGCGAGCCCTCGGTCGCCATTTTAATTACGTGCAATTTTACTTGCGAAACGAGGCGGACACGGGGCGGATCAGTTCCGGGACGAGAGGAGAAGACGTCGCAAGTCGTTTGAATAGATTGGCAAGCAACAATCCATATTAACTCTGTATTGATTCCTTATGATGAGATCCGACTTTCGCGCAATGTAAGTTCGACGTTCGCATATTAACGATCATTTCGCGTACGTAATTCGTAAGACTCGTTCGATCGGAAATCTGTCGGGTGCGAGCAATCGTCAAAGCGATATTATTCGGTTATCTATTGTATATATTTACGATTAATTTCATCCTGCACATTTTATTTGTATTGCAATGCGAAATAACGACCGCCAAGACGGGTGTACGCTATATTTATTGCTTGAAATATGGAAAATTTGACAAATTGACGCGAGGCTAGGTGCGAGTAGAACGCGCAGCGCTGCAGCGTCACTCTTTGCGCGTGAAGTTGACCGCGCGTGAAATAGACGAACCCCCTCCGCCATCTTAATTGCATTTACGTTTCGTTTGCAGAACGCGACGGACACGGGATCGTAGACGTCGTCTATGCACGGGACGGATCGGCTCCGGAACGAGTGCAGGCGCCGCGAGTCATTTAATTGGTAAGTGAAAGAGATATCAATTTTGTTTTTATCATTTGCCGCAATAATTGACTATCCCTTCGACACTCGTACATTGATGATCCATTCGAACGCGTATTTCGCAAAAATCTTGTTCGGCCAAAGTACTTAACGCCGCCATATGTCGCTTTTGGAGCGCGAAGTTGACCGCGCGTGAAATAGACGAATCTCCCCCCCCCCCGCTTCGCCATCTTAATTGCATTTACGTTTCGTTTGCAGAACGCGGCGGACACGGGACGGATCGGCTCCGGAACGAGCGGCGTCGCGAGTCATTTGAT